TGTTATTCATTGACGACATTTTCTTCTTGTGTGGAGTGATACTAGTAATAATTGCATGGGGAGAGTTTGTGGACACTGAAAGCTTCAGCCAGTTCAGCTTTCTAAATTTCGATAATCATTTTTTTCTGTTTAGTTACTGTCTCCGTGTCGTTGGAGTATCTGTAATTTTTCTTGAAAAAACACTCGGTACTTAAATATAATTGACATCTTAGTTTTTGTCATGTGGCTTTCTATATCATTTGTGCTATCAAAAAATACAGCAATGGAGAAAATAAAGGAAGAAGATGATGAACATAAAATCCGGCAAAGGCTTGAACACGAAGAATATATCGTTGTCTTCAAAAGATATTTGCCTCATCAACTATCCTTTTGATGATTTAATTGGCAAATAGTTTGTAGGATTAAACAAGCTTTTAATGAAGATTACCAAAAGCAAAGTAAATCTTCAAATGAACAAGTGAAAAAGAGGAATTTGATTATGTAGAGGGACAAAAAATTCTTTAAAAATTGGATGAATATTACAATGAATTTTTTTTATTCATTCATATATTTTGGGACGAGAACAATAAGTATTTATAGATTTCAATCATCTCATACGAAGTGGTTCAAATTTCAAAGCAAGAGATGTAATGTTTCATAAATAAACCACCAGAAAATTCAAAAAACCCAACCAATGTCACATTTTTCAACTATGCGACCGCATAGGCTGGGATGAGAACAACAAGTATTTATAGATTTCAATCATCTCATACGAAGTTGTTCTAATTTCAAAGCAAGAGATGCAATATTTCATAAATAAACAAGCAGACAATTCAAAAAAACTCAACCAGTGGTCACATTTTTCAACTTTGCGACCACATAGGCTATAACTATGCGATCGCATAGTTATAGCATTTGCTGCCTGAAGTTCAAGCCTAAATGGCTTATACGATCTCATAGACCATTTTAGGGCACGTTTTTTCTTCTTTTTCTTAATTCATCTTTCATCCACTTATATAATTTTGAACAACAAATTTACAACAATCCCTCATTTGTTCAAAATCAATATTAATCATATAATCAAATATCGACACCCATGCATAAGGATTAGATATCTTTCGATTTGAATTTAACCATAACGTAAATCTTATAAAGCATTATCGAAATTTCAGGTAGCTAGAACGCTTTGAACTAATTATTCCTTGAGACAATACCGATGAAATCAAACACACAAGTGTTAAATTTTCACAAGTTCCTCTAACTCTCTTAGTGCTAATATGACATGTACTTATCCTTTTTCTTTGAGTTTTAAAGAGAGAGAACTCTAACTTTCTAATGAGGTGGCACCACCTCGAAATTCACATAAGTGAAGTTCTTCCAGTATCTTTGTTACTTTTAGAGATACTTGTACCTCGTACTGAATTTCATTAAGAGTTTTAATTATANAATTATAACTCATCCCTCCAACAGTAATAACCAACATTATTTACTAAAGATAGGGTTTAATAAATTTTATAGTGTTGAAATCCATTCACTTATCGAATAACTTGTTATTACCCCTCAAATCTAAATATACTTGCTTAATATACTTTTGGTAGTGTTGCTATCATTGGTGGATTTAATTAAGGAGTTTCAACCCCATCCTACTTGAAATCAATCTAACTAACTCTCTTGTGAGAGGTTTAGTAA